TTCTAGGTCCACTCTATGAATATGTTTTGAATATCAATATGTTTTTGTATGCTGAGTCAGAGAGTGTAGTGTTGTGAAAGCCAAATTAAGGAGTGTCCTCTGAAGGGGGAGTTTCATAAAGCTGCTAACAGGTCACAGAGGGTGAGAACTGAACATTAGGGCAGTGGCCCTCAACCAGGATTATTTTGCTCCCCAGGGGACATTTGGCAGGATGATTTTACTCCCCAGTAGACATTTGGCAATTCCTGGAGACATTTTTGACATTTGTGACAACTGAGGGGAAGGGATGCTATTGACATCTACTAGGTAGAAGCCAGAATGCTGCTAGAGACCCTACAGTGTGTATGAAAACCCCCCAATAACAAAGAATGATTCCACTCCAAAATGTCAATATGCCAAAGTTGAGAAATCTTGTATTAGGGAATTAGGGCAGTGTTCTGGAACTTTGCTACACAACAGAGTCACCTGGGGGAGCTTTTAAAAACCCTGATGCTCAGGTCACACCCAGACTGATTAACTCAGAACATCTCAGATGGTTTGATTACATTATCTCTGAAATCCCTTCCAAGTCTAAGATTTTATGAGAAATAACAAGTGATTAAATACTGTGTATAAATCCAAATTTCCAAGTAGCTGACAGCGTGACCCCAATCAACCCTTGTTCCATGTGAAGTTCCATTAGGTCCAAGTCCATGGGGATAAAACAGAATGGGGATTTCTGCCTGTGCTCAGCAGTGATCAATCAATATTGGATCGCTAAGTCTTCCAGAAATTTCCATGTGAATTCTATTCACAACGATATTTGAGAGTGGGCATGGGAGTTAGGGAAGATCAGAGTCTTTCTGCATCACATAAAAGCAAATTTATAACGAAGAAGAAAAAATATCTTTGCCCTGCACATACCCATGTGATAGAGGATTATTCTCACTTCCCCCTTTCCCCTCCGTCAGCCAATGTGCAATAAAAGAGGGCAAAATGGAGACGTTGTGGAATAAATGACTTTGTTTGAAAGGCAAAACCACAGGCTGGTGTTTATGGGAGGATGCAGACTGGGACACTGTTGAGAGGCAAAGCGAATGCTTGTTAGGGGACTCTTTTGATCATTACTGAACCAAGCAAGGGAACCCTGGCCTCTGAACTCTGTCTCTTTAATGCCTGGCTCTGAAAGCAGGCGCTTGGCTCCCTAATTGCCCCATATGCTGGTTTTATTTGGCGGCTCAGCTGGGTGGAGTGAACTCTAGGAAGAGATGTATTCTTTTTTAGTTACCTCACCAGATTGCTAATTTTCACTCTGGAAGCATAAATCACCATAATTACTGTAATCCCAAGATGGAGAGGCAGCTATTCTGGTACCAGGGCAGTAGCTATGGCTACCCCAAAGCTCTTCTACCTGAGGCTTGGGGCCTGGAAAGCCAGGAAGGAGACCCATAGGGCTCGCTCGCTGGCACTCTCAAATTTGGGATGGACAGCGTGCTTGGAGCTTGTCCTTCTTCACTTGGCAGAAGAGTTGGAGTTCTTGGAGGAGCAGTGTCTTTTGAGTTAGTGGCAAGAGCGTGCAGATTGACCCAGACTTTCGGCCCTGGGCTAACTAGACAGCTGTTTACATGTTCAGCTGGCACACGGAGCGGCAGCTCCTCTTAATTTCTGGTCTCTTCTCATCAACACACTTCTTGGTTCGGCTTGTTTTTTGCATCTGTCCTGAGGAAAGCCTTAAAAGTTCCTGAAGAATGACCTCAGGCAGAAACTAGAGGCTATAAAAATACCCCACTCCCCAGAAGTAGGGGCTAAATATCACCAGAGAAAAAAGAAGCCCAATGTAGCTTGTCACTTTGTCACCTAAACTTGCAATATTGATTAAAACAATTTTTTTTTAAAGAGATAAAACCAACCTAAGCTAAGTCTAAGAAATACCAACTAGATGCTTCTGAAGCAGAGCCACTTAAAGGATGATTAACTCATAAATAAATATGTGAAAATTCCTTGCCATTCCCACTGCAGGAGGTGGATATGGGGGAATAAATTTTCCTAACAAGTTCACATCATAAGGTGTCTGATTTTTTCTTTTTCCTGACATTTTTTAAGACAGCCCTTAAAATGAGAAAGAAAAGAGAAATTTGACTGTGACACAAAAAAGGAAAAAACTAGTTGAGGCAGAACATTTTTTGCCTGATACTGGAAAGCTTTGGAGAATTTAGAGCTCAAAGCATTCATTATTACTGATGGCAAGTTGATGGCCTACGAAGAGAGGGAATTTTAGGTCGGAGACATTTTGTGTAAAATTGGGGCTGTGCTTAGGCATTAGAAGATAAGGCAGACAATGAATTGCAACAGGAGGAACTGCCCCGTGAGATGACCTTGGCTCTGGTTGGCCTCCCCGCTTCTCCCAGCTACCCTCAGATGACAGGGAGCAGATAAGATATGTTTTGTGTCTTCCAATCACCTGCCCTCATGTTTAGGCAGCAGAAAGGCTTGAGCTATAAACACAACTATGCCACCTACCATGAGCATGGAATCTAGAGTATTCTAGTTCTTCCTTGATGGTTTTCCACCACCTTTCAGACTCTCAATGATGCTTTCTGGAACCTACCACAATACCTGGCCACAAAATAGGTGTTCAATCCATGTTTGATGAATTGATTCAAATTTGGAGAAGAATTTGGGGGAAAAGTCAGAATGAAAAATAAGGGGTGTTTCACTACTTCCCTTCTCTGGGGTTCTATCCCTATTGGTGAGGGCCTCAGATGAAAGGGCTCAAGCCATTCTCGTCGATGTCTTTAGGTTGGTTCCCAGGCTCTCCAGCTGGGTCAGGGACCCAGTGGAGCATTACAAAAGGGGCCATTTTTTTCCTGAAGTCTTTCTGCATTAATAACAATCACGGTTGAGTGGAAGTTACACGCTTAGAAGGAAATTATTCTGATTTTGTTTTCCAGAGCAGAGGTGTTTCCCCTCAGATCTCAGTTTTACTCCATCAGAAAAACCAGAGCTGTCTTTCCTGCAGCAACACTATTTCGTCTGGTGACAGGAAGTCCTGTGATTTTTCTCACCAAATTCCCTGAGGATGCCACCTTTCGGCTACAAACACTTAGACTATTTCTGCTCTCCCCATCCAATCTAGGGGTGCTAAGAGTTTCAGTACTTTCTTCTCTGCTTCCTACTTTGCCCCAACCCCCCAAGTTCTTACCCAACTGCCCACAGCTGGGACCAGTCTCTGAGACAGAGCAGAAATAATGTGGGAATTGTGGTTAGGGTTCAACACATATATCGATATGGGAATAAGCATAAAAGCAAAGCCCTTGTTACTACAAGAAGGGTGGTGGGAAATCATTTCTTATCCATCATGGGTGGTGGTATGGGTAATGACTAAGCATAGGCTATGAAAAAAAATTTTTTTGTGAAGCAAAATTATTTATTGGGAATTATCATGGCTGTATTAAAAGGGCCACATGGAGGCTGCCCAAGGAAAGCCATATAATAATAATGGGTAATTCATTATATCTGGTACTAATATTTAAAAATATTATATCCAAAGGACAATTAGAATGCTTTTGCTTTGAACTACACTTAGTTGAGCATCTCTTATGGGGAGAGAGAGTAGCGTCCATGTAAAAATTAGAAAAGTTCTTATAGTATTTACTTCTACTCCTACATGTTATGGTTCTACAGCCTTTTTTTCCCACAAAGATTTTAAAACAAAACAAACTCCAGGTTTTCCTGCTTCTTCCAGTTAAATATTGGAGGAAAATTATATAATTTTTTAAAGGCAAAGAAGCACAAAGAAAGGAAGTCAAATGGAATAAGGCCTGATATCCTAACTCCAAACTGGCAAGTTGAGCACATGGAATCAAGTGCAGGATTTTCCTTTCCATTCATGGGGAAAAGAAGGAAGAGAAAGAGGAAGAGTGGGAAGAGCTCAGAGGGTACAGTGTTGACTCCTTAGGAATCTGGAAACATGGAGCTCTTGGAGGCAGTGAGAACTGCTGCTCCAGTTTTCTCTTGCCATTCTTTAGTCTATGGTAAGGTGTTGGAGGAACTGAGTCCAAAGGTGCAGCAGTGTAATGTAGCCTGAAACTAAAAGCAAAAGGGTTTGATTCCTCCCTTTTGATTGATTACAGGGCCACTCACTTTGGGGTGCCTCCGTTTTCTTATTCGTCACACAGAGCAGTGTGGTGTGGGAAAATCCTTGCCTCACCATAGGAGTTGCCACAAAGGAAAAGGGGACCTGAAGCAGAAGTTGGGAGACCTGAGCTTATGACATCGGGTTCACAGCATAGCAGATATTTGCAGGGACATTTTCTGAGAGAATTGAGGTTATTAGCATCATTATCATCGGGGAAATCAGGGGTTGACATTTTCTCACAAGAGAGGAGCCAGGTGGTATGCTGAGGTCTCAGGCTGAGGGAGATCTGTGCTTGGCAAACTACAATGACCATCGTCTCAGCCTTGGGATGGTAGTAACTGCCATTTGTGGTATGTTTACTTACTTTAGGCTCCTTACATAGCTATCTCGTTTAGTCATCATCTAGTTAGAACATTATCCCAGTTTACAGACGAAAAAAACTAAGGGCCCAGAGATTAATTTGCCCAAGATCACTCAGCTACGTAGTGGAAGTGTCCGTTTCTGCATCCATAAAATGAATTAAAAACAGAACTAGAATCCCTTGCCTGCTGGTTTGTTACAGAGACGCTGCAGATAGTCACGAGACGAGTCACGAAAAGGCAAAACCCTGGGAATATAGGACTCTTTTAAAGCAAGTTTTGCCTTTTCTCAACTTGAACTCGGGTTCCCTTTTCACGGCTTCTAATGCGCAGGCGCGGACCGGTCGCGCCCTCCCCCAGCGCCTGTTGCACAGGCCACGGTCGCCCTCTGTCGACGCAGGGCGGGAGCGCGCCCAGAGTCAACGCTTCCAGGCCTGGGGCCGGCCAAGAACCTCGCTGGCCTGTAGAGGACGCCAGCCGGCGCGCAGAGTAATCCACCTGGCCGTCCCTTCTTTAAACACTTCCTGTTCGATCTCTATGGTTTATCCGTTTACGTCCTGATTAGTTCCCGGAGTTTTCAATTTACCGTAAACAAAAGGGATGGGCGCCGACCCGGAAGTGGAAATCGGAGCCAGGCCGGAGTAGCGCCGAAGGCCAGCAGTGAGGAGGCGGGTGGGGGGCAGCCGTAGCCATGGCGGTGGCTGTGGCTATGGCGGGAGCCGTAAACGGGACGGAGCTGGGCCCCGCAGAAGAACTCGCCAAACTCGAGTATCTGTCTTTAGTGTCGAAGGTTTGCACTGAGCTGGACAATCACCTGGGAATCAACGACAAGGATCTGGGTGAGCTTCAGGAAGTTTCTGCGGTCTCTGGGTTGGGGGTCGAGGGAAGCGGAAGGAGAAATGAGTTTGAGGAGCCGAGTGACCGTGTCGAGTCTCTGTCACAGAGACTTGAGTCTAGGGAACTTGCAGCCGTGGCCTCCGCACGAGAATCCTCCAGGCAGAGCTGTTAGAAACCATTTCCCAGAGCTGTCAGTGAAACCCAGAGCAGCCATCACTGCTTGTTTCCCCTCCTCACACTCCCCCCTTCCCCTGCCCCAGCCCCAGGTAAATTAAACAGCGTTAGCAACAACAGCATCAATCACATGATGATGATCGTGATGATAATAATGGCAGACGTTATTCTTGCGCCGGCTGCTTGTGAAGTAACTTGAATCAGCATACCATGTGGGATATTTTGGGGCGGCCTGCCCTGGGCCCAGACGGTACCTACTTATGAGGGTTGCTGTGAGGGTCACGGGATAACCCACTTAGCATAGTGCTTGTCATGTAGTAGCTGGTCATAAAGTCTTAACCACTGGCATTATTAGTAACTTGTTATGCATAAGCTATGTCCATGTAGCCTGATGGCATTTGGCTTTCACTTATTGTCATCAAAAAGGTAAAAACAAATTCCATCATGGAAATGGTATGGTAGTATTAGTTTATAAGTTAGTTATTCAGATCATCCATGTTATTTGTTAGGATTAAAATCCAAATGAAATCATTCAAATTTTCTTGTGGGACTCACAGTTTGAGATGTTTTATGTCGGCCTGTCATAAAATGCACTTCTCAAAATCTGTTAATAAAATAGCTCTAATATTAGAAATTTCAAGAACCAGGCAGTTTTGCAGAGGAAAAATTGGAGGAGGAGGCAACTGAGTCTTTCATCAACTTGGAGATTGTACCATCTAGCAGCTGCCTGATCCTAATACAAGGATTTTGTTTGCCTTTCCAGAAAGTAGAAAGCATCCTATGTGTGTGTCATTTGTGTGTGTGTATCTGTGTGCATGGGCTCATGCTTTTGGACATCATTACCTCTAGAGTTTATATGGCAGTCTGCACAGCTAGTAGTTTCATGAGAAGCAAGTCCAATGATATGAGACAAGGAGGTCTTGCTTAAATACGCTCAAGGGCCTGGTGGCCAGTTTTGTAGTAATATCTTTTTCTCATTTATAAAAATTAACTAGAACATACATGGATAATCTTGGTAGTCTAAATTTTCTTTATCCTTACTAGATGATGGACTTTGGTTTTTATGGCTGGTGGTTAGTCTAAATAGTTTTGTTTTTAGCATATATGAAATTGATTTTTTGCTTAAGTCTTCTTGTTTTAATTCATTTTCTCATTTGCAGCTGAATTTGTGATCAGTCTTGCTGAGAAAAATACCACCTTTGATACTTTTAAGTCTTCTCTGGTCAAAAATGGTGCAGAATTCACGGTATGTGTATCTGGAGACCCCTTTTTTATTTTAATATCACTATTGAATTTAAATTTTGGTAGAATTTAATGTAGAGTTTTAAATAGAGAAAGGAGATAATTCGTACATACCACTCAAATAAATGATTAATTGTAATGTTTTGATGCCACTAAACAGTGGTATTGTAACTGGATTTCCTGTGATACCTTTCTAGGAAAATGGGGCAGGTGGGTCTAACCACCCGTCTCTAGGGGTCATCCCTTTTCTTAGTGTTTTTAAGCACTGATCCAGGAGCCGACGATTTTTGTTCTATTTCTTTTCAAAGGATTCGCTTGTAAGTAACTTGCTGCGTCTCATACAAACCATGCGGCCTCCAGCAAAGCCTTCTACTAGCAAAGGTGAGCAGAGCTTCTGGCTGAGCTTAGCCTCCAGAATGGTTAGATTGTGAGCAGTCTGTAAATTGTATTTGTTTCCCTTGTAGCAGCTGATGAATAAATAAATGTTCTAGTAAAAAAATTCAAATGACTTAAAAGAAAATTAAGATTATAAGAATTATAAGATAAAACCAACCAAATGAATACTGATGCACCCCCCGCCCCATGCCCAGATAGTTTGTTGAGGGTTTTATAATCAGTTTTTTTCAGAAAATTAAATTACGTGTATATTAACGTATGTAACGTAGAAAACTGCAGTGTTATGTTTTTAGTTTGATGCAAATCTAATGTTGAAGTTAAGAATATTAAACGTATCTTTTTTTCAATTGTTAAGTGTTAAGAATATTAAACGTATCTTTTTTTTAATTGTTAAGGGTTAAGAATATTAAACGTATCTTTTTTTAATTGTTAACTGTTAAGAATATTAAATGTATCTTTTTTTTTTTTTTTTTAATTCCTTCATGCTCTTTAATGAAACAAGATCCGGTTGTTAAACCCAAAACTGAAAAAGAAAAACTGAAGGAACTCTTCCCAGTCCTTTGCCAACCAGACAACCCTTCTGTTCGGGTACTGATACTATCACGAGAATGTCTTCTATAACTGCATGTTCCCCCGACCCCTGCCTCTTTTCTCTGTCTCATTCGTTATTAATTTTAAGTTTACCTTTATTGTAACATATTTTTCAAAGTGAAAGTGTCTGATGACCTTCTGAGCACATACTATGTATAAAATAGTGTTAAAAGGTTTAAAGAATGAGATCTGAGGGAAATGAGACTGGAAATTGTGGAAAGCAGTGGCTGGGGATATGAAATAGTTATGAAATAACTTCAGGTTCTGGAACAGATGCCTGATATATGAAATTAGATATTTTTTGTTCCATTAATGTGTTAGAATGTCTAATTTTTGAAATGTTTTGATTTTTAAATTTCATCTTAGCAAGTATTTATTGAATACCTACTATGTGCCAAGCACTGTTCTAAGTACCAGGGATACAGCAGTGAACAAAACAGACCAGTTTCTGTCCTCTTGGGTGTTACATCCTATTATTGGGATGGGGTAGGAAATAAACATATAAACTCCTCTAGTGGGAAGGAGACGGGCAATAGACAAATAAGTAAATGTATAACATAGCTGATAACTAAAGAACTATGGAAAAAAAATAAAGCAGATGAAAGAGGAGAAGGGAGTGCAGAGGGGTAGTCGCTTTTTAAAAATTTTAGCATCTGTTTTCTATTTATAATCGTTAGTTGCATGATTTCACGGAAGGGATGATATCTAATTTTCTTCCATAGCTTTGCATTAAGGATAAAGGGGATTTGCCTAATACAAAAATGACTTCCAAGAGCCTTTGCTTATTCCTCTGCGTCAATCTCAAATTGTGTTGGAAATCCATACTCTTTTTCTTCCTTCACCTAAGTGGTCAGTGGTGTAGGGGCTGTCGGATTAGTAGTACCTGAAGTACAGATTCTTGAGTGATTTCTTTTCCCTCCTCCTCCTAACTTTTCTGGCCTCTGCTCTTGTAGACCATGCTGGACGAGGATGATGTGAAAGTTGCTGTGGATGTCCTAAAAGAACTGGAGGCCTTAATGCCCAGTGCAGCAGGCCAGGAGAAACAAAGAGATGCTGAGCACCGGTTTGTCCTTGCTGTTATACCCTTTGGAAGTTAGGATGCTATGATGGTTGAATTTTGTGGACCAGCCAAGCAAAATTTTGGGCGGGTTTATAGAATCTGGACTGGCCATGTCCCATATTGTTACATCTGTTTTTATTGCTCCCTGTCAAGAGTCTGCAATGAATGCTAAGATGTTCAGAAGATAGAAGCCTGGGCTCAAAGAGGCTGAACATGTTTATGGCCTCATCTTTTATTGGCTTGCTGCGATGTCATAGTTATTGAAACTAATTCAGTTTAATGCTTAGAAGGCACCTACCATGTGCATGGCACTGTGCTGGGTGCTTGGGGATGCAAAGATGGAATTGGGCTGGTTTCTTTTTCAAACAGGTGCTTATTAATTTGTTAGGGACAAGTCAAAGAAGAAGAAGCGGAGCCGGAGCCGGGATCGAGAGCGAGACCGTGACCGTGACCGAGAGCGAGACCGCGATAGAGACCACAAACGGAGACACCGGTCCCGCTCCAGGACCCGGGAGAGGAATAAAGGGAAGTCTAGATATCGGTCTAGGAGTAGAAGTCAGAGTCCCCCAAAAGACCGGAAGGACCGAGACAAGTATGGAGAGAGGAATCTGGACAGATGGCGGGATAAGCATGTGGACCGCCCTCCCCCGGAAGAGCCCGCCATTGGGGACATTTACAATGGCAAAGTTACCAGCATCATGCAGTTTGGTTGCTTTGTGCAGCTGGAGGGACTAAGGTAATGGCTGGTGCTCTTCTTTCCCACCAGCGATGGGCAGGGTTTCTTTTATCACTGGGATTTTCACGTTCTAAAAAGTTATTATGATTAATGACACTTTAATTAAATCAGCCATATCAGGTTGTTAGAATTTAACTCTTTGTTTGAAATGCCATAGAGCCATTTATTCCTTCCTCTGCCTTTAAGAGCTCTTCCCTTTTGCTAGTTGAGACAGATGAGAACCCTCATGTCTACTGCCCCTCCCCCATGTCTTGTCTTTGGGAGGGCGGTAATACTGTATTGTTTGACAACCTTCTTGGTACTTTCTTCTTGAGTTTAAGACCGTTTTTGTTTGTTTAGTTCCAACAAGAGTAGAAATCTGTTGGGGAAAAGGTATTTTAGGCATGTTCCTGATGTACCCGACTTTTCCTCAGGAAGCGGTGGGAAGGCCTGGTGCACATCTCTGAGCTCCGGAGGGAAGGCCGTGTGGCCAATGTGGCTGATGTGGTGAGCAAAGGCCAGAGGGTCAAGGTCAAAGTGCTGTCCTTCACTGGGACCAAGACCAGTCTGAGCATGAAGGTAGGTGAGATATCCAACCTATTTCCACATCTGATGGCCAAGGAAACATAAGAGGACAGCAAGTGAGCTAGCTTCATTGTGTTTGTGCCTTAGGATGTAGATCAAGAGACCGGAGAAGATCTAAACCCAAATCGACGACGAAATCTTGTTGGGGAGACCAATGAGGAGACCTCGATGAGGAATCCAGACAGACCCACTCACCTGTCCCTCGTCAGCGCCCCTGAAGTAGAAGATGACTCACTGGAGCGCAAGCGCCTTACCCGCATCTCTGACCCAGAGAAGTGGGAGATCAAACAGGTTGGGGACATTTGCTTTTATGGGCACATAGTCATTCAGCTTGTAGCATAGTGGTTAAGAGGGTGGGCCCTAGAGCATGGTGGCCTGGGGTGACTTCTGGCTTTTTACTAGTTGTATGATCCTGGGCCACGTTACTTTACCTGTTTGTGCCTCAGTGCACTCCTCTAAACCAAGGCTGGTGGTGGCCTTGTGGGGACTAAATGAATTCATAGATGTGAAGCTCTTGGATTAGTGGCTGCATTTGGTAATGCTATGTAAATATTTGTTCTTGTTTCCATCATTCATCAATAAACATCAGAACCGTAGTGTACTGGGCACTGTGTAGATGCTAGGGCTACAAAGACAGAGTATCGTGGTTCCTGCCCTTGAGGAACTCCCAAGTCCAGTGGAGGAGACAGATCAAAACAGATAGTTGTGAAGGTTTACATATTACATAATAAAGCAAGTGCAGAGTGCTGTGGAATCAAGGGAAGGAGCAGATAGCTCTTCCTGGGGAAGAGAACCTTGAGTCATGCTTTTGGGCATCATGTTGTCTTGCCTCCCAGAGATGGGATATGATGTTTGAGACCCTGCAATTCTGGGCCGGAGGAGGAGAAAACCTTGGTTTCCTACATGAAACCTTTGTTTTAACTCTCTTCCATGAAAGGAGAGTTTTGATTCTAGCAAGTTAAAAGTGCCACCTTCTGTCCTTTGGCTAGATGATTGCTGCCAACGTCCTTTCCAAAGAAGAGTTTCCAGACTTTGATGAAGAGACTGGCATTCTCCCTAAAGTGGATGACGAAGAAGGTAACTAGCCAGTGGAGTGGGATCAAGCAGGATAAGGGATTGGGAGGACATTTGGCAAGCTGAGCCATCGGACTGGGCTGTTTATTTGTAGTTTAATCCAGTGGTTATGAATCATCTGTTCTTGGGTCTCACCACATAAGAACAAGGGTCCTTCCATGATAGAAGCAAAAAAATTCATTGTTTTGGCAAACATTTATACATTGTTATACTTGTTGCTTATAATAAGCTTTTAGAGTAGAAAAAGTTATAATTGTATTTTGTGGAGTAAATTTAATCTTACATTCTTAATAATTGTTCTGAAAACCCTGGATCTCCCTAGATTACCTCCAAGTTGCCCCGGAAACAACTTATAACTCAGTCCATTAACAATTTTTTGCAATTTTGAAATAAATACTATAATGGAACATATATAATTTATATAGCAGTAATAAATGAATATACTAAATAAACATCTACGCACCTGCCACCCGGCTTAAGTAGAGCTTTACTAGCAGCTTTGAAGACCCTACATCCCCTCTCTGATTAGATCTTTCTCCTTCCTCTTCTGGGTAACCACCATTCTAAATTTTGTGTTAATCATTTCCTCACTTTTCTTTAGTGTTTTACCACCTATATATCTATCCCTAAGCATTATACTATTTAGTTTGTTTTTGAACTTAATTTTTTTGATTCATCATTCTTTTGATATTTATCTTTGTAGATTTATTTTATTTGTTTTCACTGCTGCAGAGTGTTGCTGTATATAAATTTACTGTAATTTATCCATTTTTTACTTTTGATGGGCATATGGGCTGTGTCTGTTTTTTTGTTTACCTTTATGAATACTATTATAAAACTCCTATATTTGTTTTACTAATGCACATGTGCAAGGCTTCTTTTTCCTAAATATGTAAGAGAAGAATTACTGGGTAGTAGGAAATGTGCATGTTCAGCTTTACCAGGCAGTCCAAATTGTTTGCTAAAGTTTTTGTACCAATTTACATTTCTACTGTAAATGTGAGTTCCTGTTGCTCCACGTTCTTATCAACATTTGGTTATCCCATTGTCTAACATGATTTTTTTTTTTTTGCCAATTTATGGATTAAGAGTTGCTCTATAATGACATTGGATGGCAAATGTCTTATTACCATCTAGAATATCAGAAGAGCATTCTTCCACAGGCTTAATTTCTTTTGAAAGTAGCTCTGATCAGTTCTTGGGCTGGAGCAGAAATGCACTAGAAATGGCTGGAGAGCAGGGGGAACTGTCACCTGGGTTCTGGTTTCACTTGCATCGTTGTCCTTTTGACCTTGGGAGTCAACTTTGATAAAGACTGCTGGTGCCCATGGGAATTAATTATTTTGCTGAAATGATTGGTCATTTCTCTCTTTTGTTTTTGGCTAATTCTTCTTTTTGGGGGACTTTTAGATGAGGACCTTGAGATTGAACTGGTTGAGGAAGAGCCTCCATTCCTGAGAGGGCACACCAAGCAAAGCATGGACATGAGCCCTATTAAAATTGTTAAGGTGAGAAATGCTGGAACTCTAACCTGAACGTGTCAAGTGAGTTCTTAACGTAATAGTTCAGTTTTTCAGAGCAGGTTATTAGATCTGTGTAAGCAGAACTCAGGCAGCAGGAGGTAGTATTGACTTTTTGTTTTAAAGGGAGATTGACTTGGCTTTGTTCCTTTTGCATTTTAATTTTCTGGTCTCATTTTACTGTGTTTGGGAGGAAGCAGAGATAAATACATGTGCTTGATCTACTATCCCTGCTTTTGCCCAGGCCTTAGGGCTTGAATCAGTCCTTTGAAGATTCAAAGGCAATTTTGAAGGGTTCAATTGCTGTTGGCCCCTAACAGAAAACTACAATGTTGCTTGTTGTGGAGGGCAGAGTTATGAGGAGAAGAATTCATTTAACAGTCATGATAAAATTTCAAGTTTGGTAAAGTGTTATCTTAAAGGTCTCTCAGTCCAGCCACCCATTCAGAGCTTGTAATCCACCCATGTGGTCTTCTCACATCTGCTCGACATTGTTGGCGACAGGGAATTTGCCAGCCCTTAAGGAGACACATTCCTTCTTCAATTAGATCTGATCACTAGTTCTTCTTTAGGTGGAGCTGAAATCTGTCTTACCAAGGTGTCCATACTGGTCTTCATTTTAGTTCTTGGAACAATACAAAGGAAATTTTATCCTTTTCTTATGTGTCCTATTTTTCTTGGGGTTCTCATCTTTAAGCCAACATCCCAAATTCTTTCAGTGATTTATCACTGTCTTCATTTATTTTCTCTGAATTTGCTATAGTTTATCCATTTTTTTCATGTAGTCTGGTATGTTGATAAGAACTTTCTTCTAGGTGGGTCTCATTCTTTAGATTCAAGTGCCTTAACATCTGTATTTTATTTCTTGGACATTTAATGCATGCTGAGATCCCATTCTGATGTTGCTTTTTCATGTTACACTAGAACCCAGACGGCTCCCTCTCCCAAGCAGCAATGATGCAGAGTGCCTTGGCCAAAGAGAGACGGGAACTCAAGCAGGCCCAGCGGGAAGCCGAGATGGATTCTATACCCATGGGACTCAACAAACACTGGGTTGATCCTCTGCCTGATGGTAGGACCCTGGGACGGGGGGTTTGGACTTTTCAAAAAAAATCTGAGTCTTTAAGTACGCAGGGAGGGGACACTGCCAGCACATACTAAAAATTTGGCCTTTGGCTTTAGTGATTTGTTTTTTCCCTTCAGTTAAACCATGCTTTTCATTTTATTTTTAAAACAAGTATTTAAAACCAAAAATGTTTTAGTAACCCAGATCAGATGATTAGATTTTTTCTTCTGAATAACTTAAAAATTTTTATTCTAGAAATAATACAGCTTTGAAACTTCCCTTTTCATATAATTCTTTGTACAGTAAATATTAACTAACCGTTGGATGCAGTCATAACAAGTATTTATTAATTTATGTTAGGCAGCTAAAGATATAGTTGTGAATTAGACATGATTCCTGCCTTTATGAGGTTTACTGATGTTAATCAAATAATTACCAAGTAACTAACTAAATCATGAAGAAGTATTGTAGTTGGCTATGGTGGGTCACTTCCCTGGGAAGATTGAGAACCGAAGGATAAATAGGACTTAGCCTGTCAAAGGGGATAGGGCAGGGGTTGGGGAGTTTATTCTAGGCTGAGGAATAGCCTGTGCTGGGGTCGTAAGGTAGGAAAGAAGACTTGTGTGGCTCCAATACAGATAATGATGGGTGGAGTGGTGAGAGATGAGGAGTGTCAGGTCAGGACTTTGTAGATGGTATAGGCATGAAGGCTCAGTTCTAAAGTTCACTGAGAAATGTTGCAAAGTTCTAAGCAGGGGACTTGCATGATCAGAGTTGCATTTCCGAAGTAATTTGAGGTCTCCCTACAGTGGCTTGGATGGGGCAGGAGTAGCCACATGAGATGAATTAGGAGGTTTTTGTAATAGTGCAGAGGGGAGAGGATGGTGGCTTTAACGCAAAACAGAAGGGATGTACTGGAGGATGTGATTTGTCGAAAATGGAGGAGGGAGCAGAGGGGTAGCTTGAGGACAATACTAAGTCTCTTGTTTCCTTTACAGCGGAAGGCAGGCAGATTGCTGCCAATATGAGGGGTATTGGGATGATGCCCAATGACATTCCTGAGTGGAAGAAGCATGCCTTTGGGGGCAACAAAGCTTCTTATGGAAAGAAGACCCAGATGTCAATCATTGAGCAGAGAGAGAGCCTGCCCATCTACAAACTGAAGGAGCAGCTGGTCCAGGTGAGAAGCCCCTTTATGAAATATTGGGAGTCGGAGGATGACATGTTTTAATTGAAATTAGCTGGATAGGTATGTGCACATTTGAAGTAGCTTTTTCGAAAGGAATAGGAAAAAACAGCATTTGAAGTATTTTTTTTTTTTTAAATATTTACTAGTCTACACAATTTTGTATTTCATATAAGGAAATAAATCTTTTTGAATGGGAGGATCCCGGAGCAGTTTCAGGTGGGCGGAATATTGTGTTGTACAGATCAACAGCTCTGGTCAATAAGAAAAATGAGGATGCTCGGCCATTGATCTCATACAGGCAAGGCTTTGCCTCAAGTACTTATTTCCATTTTCTGGAGATCTGATTTTTAAGACCATCAGATTTCCCGAGGCAACCGATTTACCTGGTTTCCAGTTAATTCTTTCTGTAATAACTTATATGTACACAAGCAAGTACAAATATATGTACACACACATTATATATCTTGTTGTGTGGTGTGTTTCTCGATGGCACCATGTGATATACACTGTTCTGCATCTTGCTTTTTCCCCTTAATTGTATAGCTCAGGGGTTGTGTCTTTTTTTTTTTTTTAAGTGCTTCATTATGTAGATATTCTCTGGTTTATTTAACTAATCCAGTGTTAGTAGACATATAGGCTGATGGCAATCCTTTGCTCTTATAAACAGTGTAGTAATAAGATGACTGTTGGGGTAAGGCACTGGAGATTTGGGAGCGACAGTAGGAACACTATATACCTTTTTATGACAGTTGAATTCTTTAACCATGTACATGTAATACCTTAAAAAATTATATATGTACATCAGGGATATCTAGGTGATAGTTTATTCTTTTGGCATCTTTTTTATGTTTTTATGAATTTAAGAAAACCAGTAAATTAAAAATAAATTTGAGTCGGTTAAAAAAAAGAATACCCATAAGATTTAAAGTTTTTAAATTTAGTTATAGATGCAATTAAAATAAGAGCATTGCCCATATTAAAAATCATTAGTATTTTTTCCTTCATGATTAAAAAGAATTTAAACTCTGGTTATAATCTTATATTATTTTGTTCCCTTTTTTCCTTTAGTGTAAGAATGTAAACAGTTATTTTACTCCAGAGTAATGTGTGGCAAATTTCAATGACAGTATTTGTATTCTGTTGCTTTCAGGCTGTCCATGACAATCAGATCCTGATTGTTATTGGGGAGACAGGATCTGGGAAAACAACGCAGATCACCCAGTACCTGGCGGAGGCAGGCTACACTTCCAGGGGCAAGATTGGATGTACCCAGCCAAGAAGAGTGGCAGCCATGTCAGTGGCCAAAAGGGTGTCAGAGGAGTTTGGCTGTTGCTTAGGTCAAGAGGTAAGTGAGTAGTGAAGCTGTTCTGGAAATGCCTGAAGAAAAGTAAAGGCCCAGAGCTACCTTTTTCAGGTTTCTCCTGAGGGAGAGAGGATTTTATTGTCATCGTTGATCTGTTCAGGATCAAGTCAAAGGTTGATTTTACAATGAGGAAATCAGTGTACATCTTGGTCAAATTCTTATCTATTAAGATTCTTATGTATTAAGAGTAACAGTCTGACTGGGCTGAAATCTTGCCTGGTGATTGCACTACAGAGAGGTTTGTGTCCAAGATTTTCAGCTTCTGTTCTGCTTTAGGTGGGCTACACCATTCGATTTGAGGACTGCACCAGCCCCGAAACAGTTATCAAGTACATGACAGATGGGATGTTGCTCCGAGAGTGCCTGATTGACCCCGACCTCACTCAGTATGCGATCATCATGTTGGATGAGGCACACGAGAGGACAATTCACACTGACGTGCTCTTTGGATTGTTGAAAAAGGTAACTGGGTTTTCTCTGGTGTCCTTTCTAGCTGTTGGGAATGGAATTCTGGGAATTGGATTTGAGTACCTCTCTTTCCTTTTGGGTAGTCCTTTTTAGTAAGCCACATCATCGCATTTCCCTTTAGACAGTTCAGAAACGGCAGGACATGAAGCTGATTGTCACCTCAGCCACATTGGATGCAGTGAAGTTTTCTCAGTACTTCTATGAAGCTCCCATCTTCACCATTCCTGGTCGAACATATCCGGTGGAAATACTGTATACAAAGGAACCTGAGACAGATTATCTGGATGCCAGCTTGATCACTGTCATGCAGATCCATTTAACAGAACCACCAGGTAGGGGGAAAGAACATTTTTTCCTCTTAGACCATAAGTCCTAATGTGGGTGTCTTTTTCACTTATCTTTTTAAAAAATGAATTTTAAATAAGTCTCATGCTTCCATATTTGAAATGGTGGTGGGGAAGATATAAATAATGGCGTGCAGTGTTTAAATGCACCTGTTTAAACACAGACACAAATTTTAAGTAAATAAATAAAAATAAACAGAATAAACGTGGACAGATGAAAACCTTTTGATTTATTAGAAGTCAGAATTTGAGTATATTTCCTGTCATTTGTAGTTCTGTTAATGTCACTATTGCCTTTGGATAGAACATACAGAGAAAGTAAATTAGTGCTCTTGTTCTCTTCTTAGGTGACATCCTGGTCTTCCTGACTGGTCAGGAAGAGATTGATACTGCTTGTGAGATCCTGTATGAAAGAATGAAATCTCTGGGACCTGATGTTCCAGAGCTGATCATCCTCCCTGTATACTCTGCTCTGCCCAGTGAGATGCAGACCCGAATCTTTGACCCAGCTCCACCCGGCAGCAGAAAGGTAACCCTAGGCAGAAACGAAGCTCCCTTGTCCTCTGAAACCGTATGGTGTGTGCAGCTGGCCCAAAAGGGAATTGCTTAGATGTGTGCAAGTCTTGTTTATTATGTTTTAGAGACTAGTCCAGCCAGTTTGTTAAGGAATAAAGGTTTTGTATATGATTCCTGCTCTTCTTCCTTTTCTTTCCTTCATTTGACAAATATTTTTTGAGCATCCTTCAGGCTTTGGAGTAGACCAGGGCTAAAGTCTAAGGACAGGCCTTTCTTTTTTTTCTTTCTTTTTTTTCTTTTCTTTTTTTTAGGCGAGGCAACTCTTGGTTGACCTCACAGATTGCAAGGACCTTGTCAGCTTACAATCCCTTATTTATTTATTTATTTATTTATTTATTTGTTTGTTTTAATTTTTAAAATATTTTATATCTATAGCACCTTGTCTTTCTAGGTGGCCTCCCATCCAAGTACTAACCAGGCCCGACCCTGCTTAGCTTCCGAGATCAGATGGGATCGGGCTTGTTCAGGGTGGCATGGCTGTAGATGATAGGCCTTTCTTTACTGTGGGGCATGTACCAGTAGATAGGCCTTTAGCATATAGTGTGAAAGTGCTACTGATGCTCTGGATACCCAAGGGGGAGCATCCAACCAGTGTTCTTAGAGAAAGTAAGGATCTAAGCTGAAGAACACGGAGTGTTCATCTAAGTGAGAAGGGCAGGAGGACACCCATTCGAGTAGACACAATAGCCTGTGGTAACCTAGGGGCGAGCCCGTGTGGCCATTTTAGAGAGCTGCGTTGTTCCAGTAGCTGGAACTGACTGTGTGTCTGAGACAGTAGGAAAGGTGATGGATGGATTTCTTTTTAATAACAGATTTATTGACATATAATTTACATACCTTTAAAGTGTACAATTCAGTGGATTTTAGTCTATTCACAGATTGTGCAACCATCAATTACTATTATTAATAATTAATCATTAACCATTAATTACTACAATTAATTTTAGAACAATTTCACCATCTCCAAAGAAATTCCGGGCCCTTTAGCAATCACCCCCCATTCACCCCTCTGCTCATCCCTGGGAACCACTAATCTACTTTCTATGGATTTGCCTATTCTGGATATTTCATGTAAAAAAACTAGCTTTTTTCACTTAGCATGTTTTCAAGGTTCATCCATGTTGTAGCATGTATAAGTACTTCATTTTTTTTATTGCTGAATAATATTCTATTGTAGATTATTATTCTATGTCTAAAATGTGGATGTACCACGTTTTGTTTATCTGTTCATCAGTTGGTGGACATTTGGGTTGTTTCCACATTTTAGCTGTTAGGAATAATGCTGCCTTGAACATTTGCTTTCAAGTTGTTATGTAGACATATGTTTTCATTTCCCTAGGAATGGAAGACAGGTAGATTTGAATAACATTAAAGAGTTAGAATGGACAAGACATAGTGGGTGCCCGGTAGTGTAGGGGAGAAGGGCAGGGGAGAAGTCAGGAATGACTCCCAGGTTTCTGGCTTGGGCAGCTGGGTGGAAGACGGTGCCGAGGAGGGAAACACGGAGGAGGAGCAGGTCGCAGGGAAGGAAGGTGATTCCTTCTCTGTTGTGTTCCTAGTGATTGGGCTTCTTCCTGAGAGGGCTTCTGCAGCTCTGGGGCAGGTAGAAGCCTCTCAGGGCCGGTCAGGTGCTGGCATGATGCGAGATGTTCTGGTGCCTCCTTGCAGTTATTCCCAAGCAATTGTATTTTATTAGCTGAACCTGTGGATGGAAGAACAGTGGCAGTGCCAAGCTGAGACCAATAATCTCCTAGATCACGTATCCTCCTGCATACACACAAACCGTAAAATTCCTCTGCTGCCTCGTGGTTCATTTTATGATTAGAAAAAAAAAAACAAAACTCCCCCTTGTTCTATATACACAAACAGCCCATTTTGTAGTCCAGATGTCCCTATGGAGGAAGAAAAATCTCATTTTGCACTGGCACACGTGATGCCAGGAAGTCTCTGCTTTCCCAGGGTGCCAGAAAATTAAAATTGTAGTAATCAACATTGGATCTAGAAAATGGATATGTAGCCATTTGCACCAAATGAAATAGGATTTGATTGGCCTTTGCTTTTTCCTCTTCTACCTCTCCTCTCAGGTACCACCCCTTTCCCAAGCTCACCCTTAAGACGAAAGCGCCTCTCCTTCCACCCATTTGAGGCTGAACTGAGATTAAGTGCTTTCTGTCTAGAGAGGGAGATAACGGCACACTTCTTTGGGAAGATATCTGAGTTCAGAAGTCCTTTTTCACACCTTGGGGCTGAACCTGAGCCGCTCAATCCAGCTCTGTCCCTCTCATCTGCAGGTCGTGATTGCCACCAACATTGCAGAGACATCACTGACCATCGACGGCATCTATTATGTGGTGGACCCTGGATTTGTGAAGCAGAAAGTTTACAATTCCAAGACAGGGATTGACCAGCTGGTGGTGACTCCTATTTCTCAGGTAATGGTGGCTTCTATCAGTAGCTTTTCTGAAAATCCTAGTTAGGGCCTTTCTTCAACAAAGTGTTTTATGGTTTTGTATTTTGAACTTTATTGTTTTCAAAGATGAACTTTTAAGATACTGGGCGAGATAAGAAGATTTTGTGTTTTTAATCTTTAGAATAGTGTTTCAACATTACAAACCCCATAAAATTTGAACTTAAAAAGTTTGAATCCTAGCACCATAGATTATCTGATACAGATGGTAAGAACATATTTTTTAAGTACTGTACTTAGCCACAGATATCTGAGATAGTAATAATTCATGAGATGATAATGTGTTTTCTTTGCTATTTATGGAATAATTTTCTGCCTAAATTTTATTTAAAAATGAATAACCTGATCATCCTTTTTGAGAGCAGTTGGACACAATGTATCCAAAATTTAAAAGATCATCTCTTTAACCTAATAGTTCCAGTAGATCTGAAAGTTAGAAATGATTAAATACATATCTAAAGGTGATGGCAAAAGATGTTCACTAAAGCACTGTCTATATTAGAGGAAACCTGGAAAAATTTTAAATGAGCTCCAAAAGGGAAGCAGTTTAATAAAATATGGTATATGTATGCCACAGAATGTTATGTGGCATTAACATGGTGGTGTGTATCTATATTTAATGATAATAAGCATATGACTGCACTATATTATTTGAAAAAAGTGAGCTACAAAATAGCAGGAATAATATCCAATTTTTGTTTAAAAATAGATGGTGTGCACTTGTGCACAGTGTATGTGAACCCGCCTGAGACTCGAAAGCATGTAGTTGAAATGTTAGTTGAGGTTGTTTCTCAGTGGTGCTGCTGGTTACTGTGCTGTTGAGTGAAGTGCATTTTTTTCTTCATACTTTTATATATTGTCTTAATATTTTATAAGAGGTATGGATTAGTTTCATAATCTTTAAAAACCATCAGGCTATTTTCGTTTTGAAACTTAATTAATAATAGCTAACGCTTGCAGGGCACTCACCAAGTGCTGCCAGGCACTGTCCTAGGTACTTTCACTTACCTGAACTCATCACATTTTTGCATCGATCCTTTGTGGTAGATATTATCATTACCCTCATTTCACAGATGAGACTGAGGCAGAGGGGTTAAATGACTTGCCTAAGGTCACACGGCTGGTGGAGCCAGCATTTGAACCTGGGCGGCCTGGCTCCAGTGTGTATACTCTGTACCACTTCTCAAGGTGGTGCATACAGCTCACAGTGATTGAGAAATTAGACTTGCCCTTTCTGATTTAGAGAGAGGTATCTGTAGAATGCTGTGGAGTCCTACAATGTATGATTGTTGCCTGCCTTTGTGTAGTTAATGACCTTTCATACTATGTTCCTTTGGTTTGAAACTAGCAGAGGAATTTTAAATCCTGATACTATTTGTAACACAGATGGTTTTATCAAAAAATGGCCTTTATATATTGTCTTAATATTTTATAAGAGGTATGGATTAGTTTCATAATCTTTAAAAACCATCAGGCTATTTTCGTTTTGAAACTTAATTAATAATAGCTAACGCTTGCAGGGCACTCACCAAGTGCTTCAGATTGCTCTTCACTTTTGCCTAGGAGCCTATGGCTAAACTAGATGCATTTTATTATTATTATTTTTATTGCGTGGCCGTAGACCATGGACTGTGGCTCCACTGGGGTGCAACCCCAACCCAGGGCCTTCTGCGTGGAAAGCAGACATGCTAACCGCTACACTATGGAACCACGTCCTTTTTTTTTTTAATTTAAAAAATTAGTGCCCCTCTCCCCTAAGTACAGGAGTATTATTACATTATTTTTTGGAAATAGAAAAAAACTTAAATCACCCATAATCCTACTACCACTACTGTCATCATTTTGATGTTTTTCTTGCCCATATTTTTCATATTTGTTTCTTTTTTGGTTGCAATTCTAGTAGTCTAGTAAGTATGTTTTATATACTTTTTGTTTAAGTATTTAATTTTCCTGGTTATTAAGGTTATAAGTGTTCAATATTGGATATTTGTTAAAGAAAATAGAACCCATCAGCAAGCCTACTGTCAGAGTTAGCCATAGTTAACATTTTAGGGTATTTTTCTCTATTTTTTTTTCCTTCTGGTAGTTTATATTATACATGCATAAAGATTTTTTTTTTTTTAAATAAAATCAATATTATATTCTAACTTGCTTCTTCACCTGTGTGAGTGAACATTTCCTTTTGGCATTGAGCATCTCAAACCTGATTTTTAAAATGGCTGCAGTCATTGTTGGTATATTAACATTACATTTATTTTGTTCACTTACATTTTTGGTCATAACTAGAGACGGTATTTTGTCATCTTGTTTTATGCTTTGTCTTCTGTGTTGTCCCACACTATTTTGAAGGTCTGTTTCTGTGATATTTACAATATTTCTTCCATTCACCTACCCGTATTTGCCTCACTTGAACAAGCTTTCCTGAAATGTTGAGTACTGGAGAGGGGATGATAATAACATTGGTAGTCTTGGAAGTGGTCCTAAAGGAAGTAAAATAAATTCCATTTCAGATTTTGCCAATTGCCCCTCTTTTAACAGCTTTCCTGAATAGGGCTGTTAACAGATATGTTACTTTTATATGCCCACCCCTCTAGGCTCAGGCAAAGCAACGAGCTGGCAGAGCTGGGAGAACAGGCCCAGGGAAGTGTTACAGGCTGTACACAGAACGTGCCTACCGAGATGAAATGCTGACCACCAACGTGCCGGAAATCCAGAGAACCAACTTAGCAAGCACCGTGCTCTCGCTCAAGGTAGAAATTGTTTTGTTAGAATGGGTTGGTGGAACAGTCTAATCCTATGGCCTTAGTAAATGAATCTCAGTTTTATGAACCTTGTTAAATACTTTAGTAACCTCATGGAACCAGTCCCTTTGAGTGAAATGCAAATGGCTTTGTTAACAGCCTTTCCACTGTGGGTCCAGGGCTAAGTTGGCATGTTTGCTGTGAATACATGTTTTTTTCTTACCATAATAACCAGCAGAATGTTTGATTATAAAAGATTTTAGTTAGGAGCATTTTCTAACATCCAAAAAGGATGTTAGAAAAATCTAATTGGTGCCAAACTGTGGACAAACATACTTCCTTTATCCCTTTAGTTTTTATATCCAGTTCTGTTCCTTTCGAATAGATGCAAAACTGCCAGTCCAAAAACTTTGCAAGGGAGCTGTCAGTAGAGGTTTCAGACTGGCCCTCTGGGGGCTTGTTTTTCGTTCTGAATCATTGCGCTTCCTCTCTTCAGTCCCATGAGGACCTTCATTCTCCTTTGGCAGGGAGAGCCACATGAGTAATTTTCCAGATGATGGCACAACCCCCCGCCCCCTCTCACCCCCCACACTGATGCTACCCTGGAGCCCTGGCACTTTACTGGTGCAGAGTGCTCTGTTGTAATTTATTATTCATTCTCCGCAAGGGAGGCTAAAACAGCTTCAGAAAAAACTTGCTCCAGTCTCTGGAGTGAGAACAGATGCATCTGTGGCTCAAACTTCTACTCCAGTTATATCTTTGGTAAATTACCTGCTTGGCCCTTTGCTCTATATTCTTACCTCAAAAGGGGGGTGTCGAATAGTATCTGTTGTGAAGATAAATGAGATAATGCAGGTAAAGGCACTTGGCACAGTGCTTACTGATTGCTAACATAATTCCTTGTAGTTATTATTCATACAATAAACATTTATTGAACACCTGCTGTGTTTATAGTCATGATCACTTTATAAGAAAGACACAGAAAGCTTAGGTTCTACCACACCACCCTTTGTACACACTTGGATAGCGCATCATTCATTTGTTTCTTTTATCATCAAATTAGCTAACAAATGTATTGACTGCCTATTGTGTGCCAGGCATGCAGATTGCACTGTGTTTAGTTTTGTGTCCATCTGTCTCACCACTGTGTACTCTGAGAGCAGGGGCCATATCTTAATCATCTTCATATTCCTACAACTAAACACAGTACGAGGCACTTCCCAGATGCACAGTAGAAATTATGTATGCAAGAAACAGGACAAGCTGGTGTATTGTCTATGTATGTAAGATACATAACACATTACCATTGTTACCTTTTAAAATTGTTCTTATCTGTGGGATTAGACACATTCACAGTGTTGCACAGCCATCACCACTATCTATTTCTGGAACTTTTTCATCATCTCTAACAGAAACTCTGTATCCCCTCCCTCCAGCCCCTGGTCATCACTATTCTCTGTCTCTGTGAATATACATATTCTAGGTACCTTGTATAAGTAGAGTCAAACAATATTTGTCCTTTTGCATTTGGCTTATTTTACTTAGCATAATGTTTTCAAGGTTCATCATGTAGCACATGTTAGAATTTCATTCCTTTTTAAGGGTGAATAATATTCCATTGTTTGTATGTACCATGTTTTGTTTATCCATTCATGTTGATGGACGTTTGAGTGGTTTCTACCTTTTGACTGCTGTGAATAATGCTGCTGTGAACATTAGTGTACAAGCGTCTGTTTGAGACCCTGGTTTCAGTTCTTTTGGGTATATATCTAGAAATGGAATTGCTGGATAATATGGTGATTCTATGTTCAACTTATTCAGGAATCACCAAATTGTTTTCCACAGTAGCTGTATCATTTTACCTTCCCACCAGCAATGTATAAGGGTTCCTATTTCTCCAGATCCTTGCCAGCATTTGTTATTTCCTGTTTGTTTATTATTATTATGTTTTATAACCATCCTTGTGGGTATGAAGTGGTGTCTCATTGTGGCTTTGATTTGTATTTCCCTAATTACTAGTTGATGTTGAACATCTTTCCATATGCTTCTTGGTCATTTTTATATCTTCTTTGGAGAAATATCTATTCAAGTCTTTTGCCCATTTTTTGATTGTCATCTATTTATCGTTGAGTTGTATGTGCTATTATTTTGAGGCAGTGTTTTTTAAAGTTTCCTTAGGAAGTATAAGCTCTCTACTAGTCTGAATTTTGTGTGGCCCAGCTGTGGAGATTCCTGCTAGTCTTCATGGTGGCTTCCTAATTGCAATTGAAGAAACAGGAAAGATAGTGACAAGTAGTCGTCCTCCATGTTAATTTAACACTGGTGAGGCCGACCCTCCTATCACACTTTCTTCCTTTTTGTTCTAGGCCATGGGCATCAATGACCTGCTGTCCTTTGACTTCATGGATGCCCCACCAATGGAAACCTTGATCACAGCCATGGAACAGCTATACACATTGGGGGCCCTGGATGATGAGGGCCTGCTTACTCGCCTGGGCCGCAGGGTAGGGGACAGACTAAACTTCTGGTGCTTTTGGGACAATTCCCTGGCTAGTCTTCCATACTCTTCGTTTTGTGCAAAATGAAGCTCTGAGGCCCTGGATAAGCTTTGAGTAGACGTCTAGATGCCTATTTTTAACTTGGATTTTCCACTGCCTTAAACTGTTTTTTCTTTATAGAAAAAAGAATTTTATCCACAGTCAGTTTTACGTCAGGATATATTATTACACTAGCCTTAATTTCAAAAGATGTCTGCAAAATTCCCACCTACCCCAACAGTAGTTGTTCTTGATCACATACATTTTATTGGGGTTTATTTGGGAAATAAAAGAAACAGCAATGTTCTTCTGATGGAGATAGGAATCTCACATCATCAGGCTTGGGTAAACCTCCTGTGGTCTGTTACCACTCTGAGTCCAACAGGGAAGCAATTGCAGTTTCTTCTTCTCCCTCTAGATGGCGGAATTCCCCTTGGAGCCAATGCTGTGCAAAATGCTGATCATGTCTGTGCATCTGGGCTGCAGTGAGGAAATGCTGACCATTGTGTCCATGCTCTCTGTACAGAATGTCTTCTACAGGCCCAAGGTAAGGAGTTCAGACCTATGCTCAGAGAGGAGTGTGCCAAAGTTGGGTGAAATCGGCTGTTGCCACTGCAGTACTTAATGTCGACACTTGACAGGGCCACATAGGGCTTCGTGGAACTGCTGGGTATTCAGTTAGTAGCTGTGGGGTGGGAAATGATCCTTTGTCTCACTGGTTGACAGGATAAACAAGCCCTCGCTGATCAGAAGAAGGCTAAATTCCACCAGACCGAAGGGGACCACCTCACTTTGCTGGCCGTGTACAATTCCTGGAAGAACAACAAATTCTCCAACCCCTGGTGCTATGAGAACTTTATCCAGGCTCGTTCTCTGCGCCGGGCCCAGGACATTCGTAAGCAGATGTTAGGCATAATGGACAGGTAACATCTGGTGACTTTTCCCCATGTTTGAGTTGAACCTCCTTGAATGCCATTTCTGTTCATCTCTGTGTGTATCTGTGAAGCTATAGACTCACATAACCTTTTCCTCCAGCTTTTCCATCTTTGTTATATTCCTCCCCAGGCAAGGGTACAGCTGAGAGTCACTTTAGAAAGTTTCTAAGAGGAAGATGATTTATTGTTGAAAAATGCTCTTTGTTTACAAGCATCTGGAACACTATTAATCGAGTTGAATTAAGTCTCTGGCTCTTACTGTGTCCATCTCGCCCACTGTGCAGAGCTGCCTCTGTACTCACTTAGGGCTGGGAGGCGAGTCTCAGTGCCTACTCCGGGGACCCAAGATGGGGGTGTTGGGCACCATCATTCTGGAAGACAGAACCTCTGAAAGCAGAATTGTCTCACATCTTTGTCCTCTCTTCATTTATTTTCCTGATAGACACAAGCTGGATGTGGTCTCCTGTGGTAAGTCCACCGTCCGAGTGCAAAAGGCCATCTGCAGTGGATTCTTTCGAAACGCTGCCAAGAAAGACCCGCAGGAGGGTTACCGGACACTGATTGACCAGCAGGTGGTCTACATCCATCCTTCCAGTGCTCTGTTCAACAGACAGCCGGAATGGTAGGTGGGCAGGCCCTGGGGCTGGGGGCTGTTCTGGGTAGAGAGAACCTATAAATCTACTGGCTGTTTGTACTTGTGTCTTTACCCCCACCACACACACACACCCTTCCACCCCCATACTTCCTATTTTAACATCGCTTATATTTCTAGGGCAGCAGAAGCCTGAATTAGGCACAATATCAGCCCCTTTTGAGAGAAATAAAGCCATAGGGATGAAAGCTGGGAAGGATCTTAAGAATTATCATCTAATGAGGTGGTTAAAAAAAATTTTCATGTAACATTTTAAAAAAATTCTAATCTTACCCACCCTAATATAAAACTGATTTAAAACCACCATGCCACCATGGTAGAAGGGTTAGAGATGTAGCGCCTTGCCTTCTTGGCCTTCCTTATTCCCTTGTGGCAACCCCTGAGGCTCCTCTTCAGAGCCCTAGAGTTCTGTGGTGACAGCCTAAAAAAAATCACCCTCGCATTTCACAGAGCAGGAAACAGGGCCAGAGAAGTCACGTGATTGTTTCTGTGTCACTTGACTAGTTAGAGCTAGAGCCAGGTCTAGAGCATGTTATCCTTACAGCTTTCTTGTGGTTAGAGGGATGTAGGCTCCTCAGAGTCTGAGCATGGTCGTCATAAAGATGGCAGGTAAGAGGGTAACATGCAAGTTCAGCCATGGCCCACCAGGGACCAGAGTGACTGTGGAGTAGGGCCTCTGTCAGAAGCTTGAGCCTGTCTCTGTCCCTCTTCAGGGTGGTATACCATGAGCTGGTGCTGACCACGAAGGAGTATATGCGTGAGGTCACCACCATCGACCCCCGGTGGCTTGTGGAATTTGCTCCGGCCTTCTTCAAGGTCTCTGACCCAACCAAGCTCAGCAAACAGAAGAAGCAGCAGCGTCTTGAGCCCTTGTACAACCGCTACGAGGAGCCCAACGCCTGGAGAATATCCCGGGCCTTCCGGCGGCGCTAAAAGGCAAGACTTACCTGTTTGCTTCTCCTGCACCAGTGGCCCCGGGCTTGACTTCACTCTTACTGGTGAAAAGCTGGTCCTGAGGATACAGCTGTTCAGTGACTGAGTGTTTTAACTGGACATTGTCTAAACTTGACTCGCATTTCTTCCCTGCTGGTAATGTAGAAACAGGGATTTATGCCTGATTTGACCAGAGCCTCCAGCCCCCACCAGGGGCCAGCATGGGCTCACAGCCGGCTGAGGGCACACTGCATCATCTTCAAGAAAGGGGCAACACGTACAGCCCTGGGATGAGAAGAGGCAGTTGGAAGTATCAGACAGACGTATGCGGTGGGGGCCTGATGCCCTCCCTGGCTAGTACTCTGGAGGAGGGAGCCACTACGCTCCCTGAAAGTGTTGGCTCCCCCTTCCTGCTCCTGTCCATTCCCTGTACTTTTGCTTAATCTCCTGGAAATATTTATTTTCTTAAGGAAACAAAAATGGTTTTCTGTGAAAGTTTCTTTTAACTGAAAGGTAAGGATATTGGCCTGGGCTCAGGGGATATTGGCTTGGGCTCAGGGTAGGGAGATTTGGTATCTGTGGCTTCAGTGCACATGGTGGAGGCTTCCCTGAGGAGTGACGCACAGCCCAGACCTCCAGGCTTATCTCTCAGCACCGGCCTAGCCCCGTCTGCTGTGGATAGCCCTGGGATTAACCACATCCATTGCACAGGCTCTCTGGGCTGGGGGCCTGAGTGGTTGCAGATGCCACATATTGAATGCAGAAGGTTCTCCCTGGCTCCCTCTCCCGCCCACCACACTCACCATGTGCAACGTGTCCGATTTCCTTTTGAAACATGCAAGTAAGGACATGGATTTTATTTTATTTTGCTTTGCTTTTTTGTCCCCTGAGGTCCTTGATGGGCTGTAACAAAGGGTTTTTGTGGTCAAAGCCTCCTCACTTCTCCCTCCCCAAACAGAAAGTCAACATAACACCTCTCAGAGCCAGTTCGTGCTGCCCAGCATCTGTGCTCTGGCCGCCCCTCGGCCTGAGTAGTTTTCTCTTAGCATTCTGTTAGGGAATGACTACCTCCTAGTACTCCTCTAAGTTTCTGAGGATACATACTCTCGATGGGAGTATATCAGACAGATCTTGCCAGGCCAGGTTGTGGACCTTCTGGAAAGCTGTTCTGGAGCTGGAGCTTGTAGAGAAGCCTCTGGGGGATTGGGCACATTGTATGTTCTAGCCTGAACTGCCTCCCACATCCCCATTCTAGTAAGTTCTGAAACGATGTAAATATTAGAACTACCATAGAATTGTGTGCCAGACACTAGAAGAGACTATACAACATTCTAGCATATGAAGGAATAGAGGATGTTAACTGGGTGGCAGACACACTACCCTCAAGACACAGTTCAGGGGACCCAGAGGTGAGAAATACAGGCCCGGGAGTCTGCTGACCAAGAGCCCTGCCCCTTTTGAGCTGAGTGTGCGCATTCAGTTCTGTTGGAGTATGCTCCTCAGGAAGCCCAGGCCTGTAATTAAGGGCAGGAATCATTTGCGTGCCAACCTCTAAGGCCTTATAGGGGAGAGACAGAGAAGGGGATATTGGAAACTGAAAAGGCAGCAGGAACTAAGCACCCAGCTCCCCAGTCTTAATTTCAGCTGAGGTCTCACTGTTCAGCAATCACCTCTGGGCTTTGCAGCCCCCCTGTCCCAGCTGAGTGACCAGCACTGACAGCCGGTCATAATCTGTGAGGATGGAGTTCTGAGATTTAAGCTGAGGTTGAGAAGGGGATGTTTAAACAGGCCAAGGTGAGAGACAGCAGGGCAGGTCATCTTTCTGGGTTAGGAGCGTATAAAGCACACTAGCCTGGTGGGTGTTCCTTGAACATCCCCCCAGGAGCTGGGGTCACTTCTCTGCTATCACAACATGGCTGGGGGTCTGACCTTCGGACTGCCCATCAGGAAATGCATACCAGCTGCCTTGCCAGCCTGCTCAGAAGGGGTCTTCCAGCCAGATTCAGAAGGAGGACTTGCCTGCTGCTCCTTCACAATGGGGCCCTTGTTTTTCTTCCCTGAACCAATATTACCCGAGATTGAGTGACAGCCCAGGAGAGGATGTGGGTCTCACGCGGGGAGCTGGAATCTTCTCGGCCATTAAAGTCTACTGTTCACCGCACCCCTGCGGGAACCTCGCTCAGGAGTTTCCTGCCCCTGCACATGTGCTGAGTCTGTGCTTGTTTGTGTATGTGGGGCGACTGTCTTCATGGGGCATGTGTAAACTCTGCTGCTGGGTCAGGCTCCTTGGTCCTGGGTTCACCTTCATCCAGTCTGGAGCATGATTTGGTTTTGGCTCGCTGTCCTTCAGTCCAGAGAGTTTCCTCTGAGCAGTGCCCTCCCAAGTTTAAGTCTTTGAACGAAGAACCATGAGTGGCTGCTTGTTAATGAACATTTTAGAGGGCAGAGGTCCCGTGTCTCAGCCTGTGGAGACCTTTTCCACGATGCTGCTTCTCATCTAAATCCCTGTCTCGTGTGCGTACTCAGGACCTATTTGCACTCAACTTTTATACCTTCTTCCCACTGTGCTAGCCTGTCTTTTATGTGGGATTAAATCATATATATTTTTAAAACCTTGTATTTTAAAATGTTCTTTTCCTTGCTCTAAATCTTAAGTCAGTACATTGATGTTCTCTGTTTCTAGGGAAAAAACGTTGCTTTTTATTTGTGGGTAGTGGTCGACAGGGCATCCCTTCTGAGAGGGCCTGGGGTCTTAGCATTAGCACTGGGCAGGGGCTGTGGGTGGGAGTGGGGCAGGCGTTAAGGAGGGTCGGGCAGCCCAGCCTCGGCATGGCCGTGGTTCTGACGAAACTGGAGAGTGCCTGGCTCCTGGGAAGCTGTCTGCACAGTGGCTGCCTTTCTGTCCTCTTCCCTCCGCAGCTACCCCGGTCAGAACTGCTCAGCCATACCCACTCTAGGTGTCACCACTCTTTCAGCCTTGCCTTTCCCACCCACCCCAGAAAACTTGGCTCCAGGGTTCTAGACTCCCCCAGATTTAGGCAAGGAGAATCTACACTGTTCCCTACTCCCCTTCCCCCCAAAGATCTAGTGTCCTTTTCCTAAACTGGCCAAGACCCAGGGCTTGTTCCAGCCTATCCCTGTACCCTCTTGCCTGGGTGCCTTTCTTTTCCCATTTTCCAGACCTTTCCACACAAACTCTCGTTTCCAACTTCAGCAGAAATGGCAACCTGGAGCCGTGGCAGGAAGGGAGAACACACAATTGGGTACATGTAGGTAGCGTGCATGGCTCATGGCAGCAACTGTGATCACACAAACCCTGCCCCCAGGAGGCCTCAAAGCTCAGTAGCCCTACCTACCCCACCCCCACCCCACACAGGGAGATAGCTGCAGGAACTACGCTGCAGGTGGCCAAGGGGTCACGGGGCAGATTACAAAGTACACTGTGTCCATTTTTTCGGGATCCTTAGACAATAATCGTGGAAGGAGGAAACAGCAGTATCACTGGGCTCATTTTTCAGAGGAAAAAGTCAGAGGTGAACCATCTTTTCCAAACCCATATGGGAAATTAAGTGTCAGGGTCAGGCCCCAAACTCTGGTCATCTGCTCCAAGGCTGAGCTCTTTCCAATCCCAAGTCCTTCTCCCACGGTAGCAAAGAGGACACAGGAAAACTAACAGGAGAAGCAGGGGCCTTTATTAGGGTCCGGCGGACGAGGTGGAGGTGGAGGTGGAGGTGGTATCCCAGGCCTAGGCCTAGGCAAAGGCAGAGCGGAGGGCCCTGGGAGCCGGAGCCCAGCCCTCCCTCCTCTACTAGCAACCCCTCCCCCACCCCAGGTTCCTTCCTCCGACCTCCCCTGGCCCTGGGAACACAGAGCACCGAGAACTGACAAGCAGGACCCTCAGGGTCACAACTTGGAGGTGGAGTACAGGAACTAGGCTTCTGTCTCCCCACAGTGGGAGATCTGGGGAGCTCAATGCATCCCTCTCCACCAGGATGAAGTGGGGATGCTCCTCTGGCCCCCGGAACAGAACAAACTTGTTCTCTGTGATGGGGGAGAGGGAGTAGGGCACGGGCCTCTGAGCAGGACCTGGGAAGAGGCCGGAGGTGAAGCCCCCAAGAGTTTCACTTGCAGTATCTCCACTTTTCCTTCCCATCATGTCTGGTGAGCAGCTCAGAGTCTGGACCAGGGCAACCGATGGGCCAGTGGGGATGTTCCAGACATCTGTGGGTTTCAGAGTGAGGGTTTCCCCAACACCAAATTCATCTATATGTACACAGGGCATCACCCTGGCGGCGAAGGAGCAGCTGCTAGGGGTGGGCTAGTAGGAATAGCCACCCTTGGGGCCAAAGGGCTGGGCAGGGCCAGTCAGCTCTGGGAGGTAGGCAGGGCTCTCATCCAAGTGGGACAAAGGGACTGTGTCCTCCTCACTGACTGGCCGGTCAAACTCGGCCTTGAGAGCTGGACGCTGATTGTCCGGGAAGGCCAGAGAGAAGAGGGCCTCAGGTTCGCACACAAACTTGTACACGTAACGCTCGCCAGCCACCTGTGGGGAGAGAAGGGCTGGGTCGGCCTAGTTCTCCCTCCAGGTCAGAGTAGAGGTGGGGAACACAGCCCTTCTCTGGGTCCAGGTAGATGTGTGGGGTACATTTCTCTCCCATCCTGGTTCCTCTAAGCAGCCGACACCCTTCACAGTTCTCTTTCACCTCTAATCTCAATCTCTGTGCTTTGGGCTTGTCAGTTACTGTTTAGCACTTTTTTGAGAGAGGGGAATGTTGAGATTATCCACAATTTCTTGTCCTTTCTGACTGGTTCATCATCTGCTCCTATAGACTCCCTGCGAAGGCTCTCCTGCCCCCTGCCCCCATTACCTTCCCACAGCCACTGCCCCCGACCCTCTTGTCCCTGGACCTTTAAAACCAGACCTTCTGCATGATGCCTTTCTCATAATAGTATCGGAGTGAGCGGCTCAGTTTGTCATAATTCATGGCCGGCCGGTTCTTCTGGATGCCCCAGAGCCTGGCGACCTGGGGGGAAAGGTGACAGTTTGGGGTTGGCAATGCTAGCTCAGCAGAGGAAAAATGGGGGGCAAGTTAGAAATAGCACTTGAGAGTCTTAGTGTAAAATGCTAAGCTGGTCCTGCAGCTAAGACCCAGATTTGACAAGAATGCAGGTTAGGTAACGCAGCAGCGATGGTGAGGGCACATCCCACCGGTTCCCACCTTCTCTCATCTCCAGCCCCCAAAGCCACCGGGAGGAGAGGTGGGAACATCTGAGAGGCCCACCTCCTCAGGCTCAATTAGTTTGAACTCCATTCCCCGGCCAGTCCAGGCAATGAAGTGGGCATTTGTTGGGTCATCCAGCAGGGCCACCAGAAACTGCCACAGCTGCAAGGCACCCCGGCGCTGGTAGGGCGGTCCCTCTCGGAATGCTCCAACCCCTTCCTGTTTGATGTCTCCTGGGGAACACAGGAAACAGGAGAAGGGTTTGTGCCTCTCCCAGGGGTCTCTCCAGGCCCTTTCTCATGAAATGTCATGTGATTCCTGAGAGGACACAGAAGGCGTGGATAAGACCCTGACCCTATTATGAAAAGTAACTTCTCTGACCTTCAAATTTCTCAGGGACGACGCAGACATCATCTGGGAATGGCTGCACAGGTTTCTCATAGCCATAGCCTTGAGGAGGAAGTTGGGGGTCATTCATCTCTGGAGGTTCACTGGTGAGACCCAGAGAGTCCAGAGGGACTCCCGGCCAGGAGACCCTCCCCCACAGCAGGACTCCCTCTTCCACTTTGGAGGGTTTGACAGGGAGGAGGCTGCCTTACCAATGGTCCCATCACGTGGAGAGGGCCCGGGGAAACCCTCCGTGTGAAGGTACATTGACGCACAGCCAGGGACATCTGGGGTTTGGAAAAAGAAGGGTGATGTTATAGGTGGCTGGGGTGGGAGTGGGGGCGGCAGGCCTCCCATACACGTTTAAGAACTTCCTGCCGGCCTGCATTCTGGTTCAGTTCCCAGCTGCCTGCCTACCACCAGTCCCAAGGGAAGTTCACCCAGAGGCGTGAGGCTAGAACCCTTCAGCTGAAGGGCTGGGCCAGAGGGCAGGGATGGCAGCAGCTGGGTCTGGGCAAAACTGTTCCACCAGGCCCAGGATTCCAGGGAGCAGCTGTTTCCTGTGAGTTTAGGGGGAGGAGGGATGGGCAGAGATGAACCTCCGGGGAAAGGGTACAGTGTCCATGTCTAAGACTCCTTTGGAATGGGCTAACCTCCGGTCGGCAGGTCAGGTTCCTTGCCCAGTTCCACGTGAGGGAGGGAGGGTAGGAGGGTGTGGGGAGAGACTGCGTGTATCTATATCTGGAGAAGAGGCAGTGGGCACTGGGCTGTTTTTTTAAGTCAGAGAGCAGAGCACATTCCACTCCATTCCATAGGAATGACACCGCCCTACTCCACCTGGAGGTGGTTGTGTAAAGCCACCGGTTCAAGATCCAGTCCCTACCCTCCCTACCCCCTCCACTCCCACCTATGAATGAGATGGTGAAACCCGACACCTCAGAGGAGGCGGGAGGGTGGGCTCATTCATGCCTCCATTTTGTGAATGGAATTCCTGACTCCATTCAGAGGAAGCTGAAGGGGGAGGGGCAGGAGTTCAAGGGCATGTAACATGATCCCCTCCGGTCTACAGCCTTTGAAGGTCAGTGGCAAGAGCGTCTCCCTCTTCTTTCCTGCTTCTCACTGCCAGGCATGGCTCAAGCTTCTGCCCTGGGTTTGAGGAGAGGCACACCCTTCTGGTTCTCACTCGGGCAGCCTCGGGGTTTGTGGTTCATCCCTCTGCCCCTAAAAGACTGGGCATCAGGGAAAGGGAAATTCAAAAGCTCTGGCCTGCTCTGAGCCTACTCTAATCGCTGAATTTATTTTTCTCATGTTTGGGGATGGTAGCAATGGAACAAGCCAAGGTTTTCTGGCCGCCCCCCTCTGTGCTTGTGGCTTTGAACTACAGCTATTTATGAATATGTCTGAGTGCATCTTATTCCAGTTAACACCAGGTAGAACGAGAATTTACAGCAGTCCCTACTTCTAGTACCCAGCTCTGGCCATGATGGTGGATCATCCACCGACCTGGAGGCTTGAACAGGTTGTGGAAACCACATATTAACTCTGAAGTTCCAATTGGGAACTATGAGCCTGGCTAGTTTCAAGTTCGTGTTTCTCTTCATTCAAATCCCTTTGTATTTTTAAGCTTCTGTGGGGACAGGGAACAAGGACACATCCTATTCATCTTTCTATCCTCCAACTCCACATACTCGTGCTCCTGGCACAGAATTTTGCTCTCAGTAGATAATTAAAATCCCAACACCTGCTAAATAGATAGAAATGCCTTAACTTTCCTATTAAGTGACATGCTACCTAAGGGCAAGGACCTACATCCCATTTACCTTTTATCTGAATGTAAGTTTTTGGATTGAAAAAGGACAATTCTTTTGTATCTATGAAAAAAGTGAATGGGTTGGACGTATGAATTGGTAAACGGATAGGAAGGTCAAAATTTGTGGGAGGACATTCTGGGGTTGATCACATGCCACTCCACCAGTAAGCCCACCCAAAGTCCCCACCCCCACCCCAGGAGCATCTCTTACCTGAGTCATAGGCGAAGTCAGTCTGTTCCTGTTTGATCACCACCCCCGCCCCTGGGTACCTGTGCCCATTGACCCCACCCTGGCCCATGGCCAGCTGTTCATACAGGGGGTCAAGATATTCCTGCTTGAAGCTCTGCTGGGGGTAGGGTGGGCAGGGCTCCGACAGCTGGTGTTGGTAGGGGGTTGGGGGGGGTTCCCGGCCCCCTCCCTGAGAGGATGTGAAGGAGTGGCAAACATCCAAGGGCTGCTGGAAGATGGAGCTGGATGTGGTTGGATGGAGAAGGAAGAGGAAAGAATATTAGATTAAGCGCCCCTAGGGCCTGCCACTCCCAGAGCTTGCAGAGTGGGCTTCAGTGTGGGGTATGTCAATATTTCTTCCTCCCTCCCTCCCCCCACCCCAGGCCTCATAAGGCAGGTGGAGAATACTCCAGGATTGAGGAAAAACTGCTGAGACCTGGGCCTACAGGTTCTGGGGTCTCCTTACCTGTGCTCCCCGAGGTACCCATGGCCAGGGCGGGGCTGAGAGGTGCCGGCGGATCTCAGGAAACTCCGCTGTTCTGCCCGGGGAAAGGGCTGCAGGGGCGACTGTCCGGGGGCACCAGGGGTGGGGGACTTGATGGTGATTTGTCTAGGGGGGTCATAGGCACTGGAGTTGAGGGGGAGATGGGTGAGGGGGCAGAGAAGCCAGGCGAGCATCTTTGAACCCTTCATCCATCCCCAGGGAAGTGAGGGCACAGGGATTATGGAGAAGGAAGAAGAGAGGATGCTGGGAAAGGTATGGCATGAGCCGAACTCGGCTCCAAATGAACTCTTTCTCCTTTCATAAATGCTGAAACTGGGTGTAACCTTGAGAACACCTCTACCCAGTCTTGAGTCACTGGGTCGGGTAGGACGGTGGCTTCTTCGGTGGAAATGGACTCTGCCCCAGCCTTAATACACATCCGTTGAACCCCTGGCTGCATTTTTCATCCTGATTACGCAGGAAATCCTGAGCCGTACTACATCCCTTATAGGAGCTCAGAAATCCTTTCTGTTGTCTAACTTGCATCGCAACTCCTACCTTTGCTGCCTCCCTCCCTCCTGCAGCCTACCCTTCGCCAGGGCTGGGCTGGGGCTCACCTGGAATAAAGGCACTGCTCGCCATGGTGGTAGGGGAGTGGTGGCTTCCTGCTGCAGGACAGGGCCGGGTCTGTGCGGGGACTCTGGGGTTCCTTCTTGATCCTGGTGGTGGGGCTGTGGAAAGCTACTGTGGGGGTGAGGGGAGGCAGAGCAGGACCAGGGTGTCACAGAAGAGGCAGTAAGAGCTTCTGACCCCTTCTGCTCTCTGAGGACTCTTCCCCTCTCTGAGTCTCAGTTTTCAGAGATCTGTAGTCAGACACTGTCCAGAACAGTTTGGCTCTTTACGTTGTGTCTAGTTTTATCCATCAGGCTAATGTCCAATATTAACCAAAGAAACGGTCTAAAGTTCAACATTTAATGCAACCCTAAACCCCACAAAACACCTTCTGAGTGTGGTTTTCCTGAGTGTGCTGGAAAATTCCAGGGGAGAGAAATGTTTTCTTATTTGAGGCTATAAAAAAATCTTTTTTCTGGTTAAGGTTGGATATTAGCCTGCTTGCATGTCAGCTGACTAACATTATACACATGCTCCTAATTATCTGTGAAGAACCTCGGCCTTTCCTGTGGCCCCTGCTGGGTCTGAAAACTCCAGCCACAAGTCTGAGCAGCAAAGAGTTGGTTCCAAGCTGGTGAGTGTGAGATTCTGTCTTACTGTAGCAGAGTCAAAGACCTGCAATCCGCTGTTCTGTTATCTGCTGTTTTCAATTATTTGTGCCCTCTTTCATTTAATTGGTGAAGACAGCTGAGAGCAAAGTATTTGACATTAAAGCAGGGTTTCTCAACCTTGGCTATTGACATTTGGGCCAGATTTTTTGTTGTGGGCACTGTAGGGTGTTTAGCAGCATCCTGGCCACTACCAACTAGATGTTAGTAGCATCTACCTTCAATTGTGGCAACCAAAAATGTCTACAGACATTGTCACAAGTCTCCTGGGGGGCAAAATAGCCCCCAAGTTGCATAAAAGTAACTTAGAATGGTAGAACTGGACCCTACTGAACCTAAAAAAATAGCCCCTCATTTCAGAAATAAGGAAATGGAGGATCAGAGGGATGGAGTGTCTTTTTCAAAGTCACACAGCTAGGATGGAGCAAGCCCTGGTTTGAACCAAGGTCTGCATCTCCCAGTTACTGTTTTGGTCTTTGAGTTCAAACCCAAGAGTGGGAACCCTGTTCTTTACCCTTTTCTTTAGGAGAGAACAAGTTAATCTTTTGTGATTCTCTGTCTCTGTGACTCATTTCCTGCCCTCCCTCACTCCCCATTCCCTCTACCCAGGACCCTCTACTCACAATTTTCTGAATGGAAATCAGGAACAAACTGCTCATCACTATCTGGTACCTGAGCTGTAGAGAGAGGTCAGAGGTGAGTCTGGGGTGGGGGCCCGGGATGGCAGCCCCTGGGAGACACCATTATTGCAGCCCTGCAGACCAGCACCCGCCAGAAAGAGAAAACAACCTTCCTAGGACTGAAGACAACTCCACCCCAGGTCCTAGTGCCCTCCATCTCTGGGCTCCATTAAGACCCTGGGGGGAAGGCTGCAAGCTCCCAGAACCTGTCTGAGCAGATTCCAGAGTCTTTTCCTAGAAGCTTTGTCTTTATTCCCTCCATTTTTCTGAAGTGAACACAGCCTTGCCCTTTAGTGTTTACAAAGCTCTCTCAAAGCTCACAGCAGAGTCACCTCTGGGATGGGCAGGCCTTAGGAGGAGTGAGATCCTGTGGATTTAGAATCACAGGGGGAGATGCTGGATCTGGGCTGAGCCCAGGAATCTGCATTTTATACAGCCTCCCAGGTGGAATCTAGAGCCTGGGAAAGGAGATGGAATGGAGGAAAGAGGGTGGTTCAATAGAGGTGCAAAGAGGATGACAGCGGGAGAGGAGGAGGCTGGGGACGCTGGCAGGTCAGATGCCTCATCCCTTTGATGTGCAGCTAGGAAAGAGGGGGACTTCTTAAGCATAGAAGTCTGAGGACCTCTACTCCCAAGGTACCAGCGTGGGTGGAGCTGAGTGTGGGGATTAGGCAGCAAAACTAAAATAGAACAGCCGCTCATCTGTGGCCTCCAACCTGGATATCCGGGCTTTGATTTCTAGTTGTCCTGGTCTCACCAACTCCTTCAGGTGGGTATATATAGCTGAGCACCTTCCCTGATCCCAGAGACTTTGTCTACTTTTGCTCCTCCGAATGAAAAGGTCACAGCAGGAAGAGGAAGGGTAGACACCAAGGAGACTGTTCTCAGAGTGGGCAATGGGGAAGCTGATGGATAAAATGACCAGAGCTGGGAATGGCTGGTAGAGGTGAGAGACCCAAGGAGACGGCTGGAGAACACACTCACTTGTCCTAGTCTGTACAAGTACACATCTCACCCTCCACTGCTTCGCTCCTGGGCAAAGGCTGCACAGTTTTCTCCTTGGATTTCAGGCACAGCCTCGGGTCAGAACTCCCTACTTCCATTCTCACCTCCTGTAGTCAGTTGTTCTCCACATAGCTGTCAGAGTGATCTTTTCACAACAGAAGTCGAATCACTTCTCTCCCTGGCTTAAAGCACAAACCCCAAACTCTTCCCCTTGGCCTCTCATGCTGGGCTTACCTCTCTGACCTGCCTCTCCTTGCCCTTTACTCTCTAGAGCTCCGGTCTCCTTTTGAGTCCTCAAGCTCATCAGCTTGATCCCTCTCTCCAGACCTTTGCCTGCCTGTTTTTTTTTCCTGGCTGTTGAAGTCTTAGCTCACTTCATCACCTCCTCAGAGGCCGTCTCTGACCAACTAACCAAAGTGGTCCCTCCCAACCTTCTCTCGCATCCCCTGTTTTATTTTTTTCTCCAGCACTTATGGCTACCTGAACTTATTAATTTATGTTGACATGTTTATTGTTCATCTTCCCCACCAGAAAGTTAAGCTTGCTGAGGGCAGGGGCTTTATCTGTCTTGTTCTTCTGATTCCACAGCATCCCTCTCCCCACCGCCAGGGTCTGGCTCAGAATAAACACTCAGTGTATTATTTGTTGACTCTTTGAATAAACATACAAAGTCCCCTGTCCTCAGGCTAGTGGGAGCCGGCATAGTGGGCCTGGGAGCCAGAAACTGAAGGATCCTAACCAGCCAGCCCTTCCTTCACCCCGAGGGCTCTCCCACTCCACCACCAGGTAACAGAGGCAGGTCCTGTGGGGAAAGCCCATCTCACAAGGGCATACTTTGGGCTGTGGTAGGAAGAATCTTCATCAACCTGCTTTAAATATTAGAGGTACCAAGTGTTCTAAAATACATGTTTATAGATAGTTTGACTTCTTAACAGAGGGATTGGGCAGAGAGGGTTTAAGAATCAGAAGCCACCAGCAGCTAAAGAAGAACTTATGAAACATCAGCATAAAACAATTCGAAAGTGATCAAATAAGTCAGTAGGACATGAAATTCCTTGGGAAACACAAACGAAAACACATGGGAAGCATAACTAGGGCACAAAGGCAATCATTCCCGACTGGCCTGAGCCAAGAACCTGGGGGCTTTGTTAGAAACACGGATTCCCAGACCCCCGCCCCCAAACTCATTCTATAGGCCTGGGTGGGGCCCAGGCATCTGTATTTTTAGCAAGCGCCCCTGGTGGCCCTTAAGAACAGGTAGTTTTGGGAAACACTAGATAAAGGGAGGGATGGAAAAACCTGCTCACTGCCCAAGGGTCAAAGGCCAGAGCTCACCCGTGCTGTGTCCTCTGGACCAGGTGGTGGGATGGGGGTGATGGGAGCAGGGCGAACATTTCTCTCCCTGCTACCTAGGCAAGGAGGGTCCCGAGGGCGGGGGTGCAGACCATGTGGGAGGCTGACGCACTGTGGGCCCCCTCTGAGGCTTCATTAACTGCCGCTTTCCACTGAGATAATGGGCTGGGGGCATCTCCTGCTGGCGTCACAGGCCAGTTCACATGAGCTAGAGAGCCCTAGGGGTCATCTTGCCTTTTCTCCCGCCTCAGGCCTGAAGGTTTGAGCAGAACCCCCCCACCCCCAGCAGTCTCGTAAGAGGCCACCCCTAGCACACAGACCACACCCGGAAGAGGTGGTGCCACCTTCTTCCTGAACCAGAAGAAATCGGGCTGAGGCAAAAATGAGTTATTGGCGTGAACACCGGTCCCCTGCTTGGCCCTCCCCCAGAACACTGGTTTCTCCCAAAGGGGCAGGACAGGGCCTCAGTTGCTCAGAGAATGTTAACAAAGAAGTGGGAAGAGCACACTGCATCTCGTGTTCCTGGAGAGCAGGAGAATTTCTAATGACCGTGTTTGGTTTTGAGTGTGTACCACTCTATTTATTTGTTGACTTGGCTGAGTTTTGGCTGCAAAGCCAGTGTACCAGGGTCTTCCCCCAACTCCATCTGGGCACTAAGGTCGAGTTTATCTGCCTGGGGACATGGCGGGTGATTAAGGAGGGATGGGAAAACTGCCAAGCCAGCATAATGCCCAAAGAGAGAATTTTAGGGAACTGTTCCTCCAACAGGAGGAGGGGCTGGGGGGGCCTCCCAAACTGGGCTCCAGGAGAATTGGGAGGTTAAATCAGCCAAGCAGCTAGGCCTACACCAGGTTAGCCATCCACCTACACCATAAAGGCCCCAACACCTGCTCCCCTACCTAGGGTCCAATCGCAGGGTGAAAGGGCCTCCTAAGGAGTCCCAGTGGAGAGATGGGGAGGCCGAGCTTCTGCTCCATTGTGTCACCACTGGCCTCTGCTCTCACCCCTACCCTGCCCCCACTCTGGCAGCCTTTGTACTGGAGGGGACATTTGTCCCCAAGACCCTCCTGGAAGGGGAGGAGACAGAAAGATGTAGAAGGAGGCACTGTAGCTAAGAAGGACTGGGGGAGGGGATTAACCCCATCTCTCCCCACAGACATGCTGAGGCACCAGCATGCATACACACAGATTCACACACACCCTAATTCCTTTCACTTCACGGCAGCACACGAGTGAAACACATCCTCCATGCACACGCTTCACACATGGGGTCTCCTTTTGGACTTACAAAGATGATGGGGGAAACCAAAAGGCAAGGCGACTGGAAACCTCAGAGGAGCAATGATTCTTATGGAAAGGGGAGCATTAGACCCACCCTTTGGAGAATCTCATAAAAGCTATGGATCATTCTCTTCCTACAAAATTCATATTCTTTTGTATGTGGTGCACCCCAACAATTTTACACACAATGTCAGAGGCTCAAGGACCCCAGCAACCTATCTGCAGAGCTTCTGAGACTCCAAGACTCCAGCCTCACACAAAGGACAGGCATGATCCAGAGTCTATGTCCCTTATTACCAAATAGACTAGTCATTGTCCCTGAAGGTTCCCAGCAAGCTGGGAAAGGAAACCTGGACCAGAAGCCGCACATCTTCCACCACAAGCAGGCACAGCTTGGGTTTAGCCTGCCCGAGCCTAGATTTCCCTAC